GGGTTACCGGTGGCAGCTCCACAGCACAAAACATTCACCACCCTGAGGGAAATAGGCAGTCTTCAGCAGTGGCTGGCTGAATACGCTCCCCTGGACTGCAAAGGAACAGCCATTCAATGCTCAGCCGGTTAAGATATTAATCCTGATGTTAATTTCAAATGCAGGTGTCCAGATTCATTTTCTTCTTCCCAAGTTTCCTTCTCAAGGATCACAGCTGACTCAATAAGCTAGTGTTTTTACAGTGCAGAACAGCTAGGAGACACAGGTCCAGTAGATGCTGAAGTGTGCCTGTGGGGGGCCCTCTATACTGAGTACTGAGCACCAGGTACTGGGTACCGGATGGCAGGCTGCAGGTGGACCTGTTCAATTGGCTGTGCAGCCCTCAAAGACCCGATCCTTTGGCCCAGGTGTAACAGAATAGCATCCTTGCCATCCCTCACTCTGAAGAAGCCACCGTGACGGACGTTAAAGTCCGTTACTTAAGTGATCCCAGAAACTGACAATACTATTTGTCCTCCTTAGGAATTTAACTAAAACTTTAATCTTGTAAAATAACAGTCTAAAAACAATACAGTCTTGGGACTGGCTTTTCTGTGAACATCTGCTTTGTTGCTGCCTGCTAAAATGATGCAGCACGCCGAAACTCCTCAGACCGGGAGAGACAGTGTGAGAGGCTGTGGGCCCCTCTGGAGGTGCTATGAGCTCCTTGAGGCAGTGGTCAACCATAAATAAATCATGCTCTCTGTGGCAGGCACTTCCATATTTATTCACCACTGTTGCCAAAGGAAAACAAACAACTGGTTAACAGGTAATTTTATGACTGACAATTAAAAGTGGCCCACTGGGATTTTCTCCATCATTGATCTAACCCAGTCCATACACCACAGTGAGCTGACACTAAGCCGTGACACCCAAGCTGAGTTATTAGATGTTAGAGAGGAAGGAGGAAGGGATCGTGGCCATTATGACTGCACAGGAATGGTTTGGCCATACGCTCTGGCACTGTTTGCACAAACCAATATGGGACAGTCTGGTGGGAGCTTTTGGATAATATTGGAAATAGACTTTTGATTAAACAATGTTTACCCTCATTTTCCTCTAAAAAGGGCCACGAAGGAAGGAACATAAAGGGAAAACCCAGTGGACAGAGGAGGAAGAGTCGTCAGCAGCAGAGCTATTATTCCATCACCGGCTAGAAGGTGAGGAGGACGCTGACGAGGATGTTGCTTCAGAACAGCAGGCACCACATTCTGCCATGGTCAGAGGTCAGTAGGGGAAAAGCCGAGCGACTCTCCAGAACCAGAGTGACCCGGGCCTTGGAGGAGCTGGAGATTACCACGGGGGATGCCCACGAGGGGCCCATGATCCAGGAAGGGTAAGGAACAGGCGGTGGGGGGGACGCGGCTGGGCCATCGGCAGTGTTGGAAGGAGAGTGGTCCACCAGCATCACAGTACGGCGTCCACCACCTTCCCTCTCCACGCACAGGAGGAGAGAGGGCAGGGCGGTTGCCCACCAGGGGCTGGCTGTGTGATGATCATATGAGAAACAAGCGCACAAGACAAGACACCTGCTTCCTGACACCTGGGGTTCACCGCAAGCCGCCCCTCACCCAGCCCGGTTTCCCAGGAGCTCCTGTGACGTCCTCCTGACCCTGAATGGGACTGAGAGGTTGGCAGAAGGCTGACGATGGCTCCAGTGTGATGGCATGAAGTGAACAACAGGAGGAAAGGGAGACAGGGATCCGGGACAGAGCAGGGGACAGAAGAAGATCTTAAAGAAGTAAGATCATCAGAGGACTGCAAAAACATAATCTCAGGATTGTACTTAAAACAGAACAGAAAGCATGAAGAGGCCTTAAAATAGGTGAGAGAACTTGAGTAGCAAGTAAAGAAATATTCTCCAAAACAGAACAAAAGATAAATATCAGGTATGGTTGTGCACGCCTGTAATTCCAGCACTCAGGAGGAGGCTGAGGCAGGAGGATCAGTGCAAGCTCGAGGCCATCCTGGGATACATAGTTCAAGGCCAGCCTGAACCACACTGAGCCCCCTCCCCCGGACAAAGATGAAGACATGGGCCGGGGATGCAGCTCGGAGATGCAGCACTTGTCAAGCATGTTTGAGTCCTAGGTCCAATACCCAGTACCACAAAAAATTAAAAAATGATAAAGCAGTGCCCAACAGGAAAATAGATGAGAATATTCTAGGAGAACCAGAAGATCCAATAGCCAACTAAGAGGTGTTTCAAAAAGTAATAAGCATAAACAATAATTCAGGATTTTCTGTTTGTCGAATACAGTTCGAAGTAGCTTAAACATTTTGATGAAGTAATAATTATTATGATTCCCCTTTTATAGATGAAGAAACAGAAGCACAGCAAAATTAAATGTCTGACTCAAGCCACAGTCAGAGAGGAGAGCCAGGATTGAACTGAGGCAACTGAGCATTCAGATCCTCATCTTCCAGGATGCCCACCTGGCCAGGGAGGAAACCGTCAGGCAGCTTCAAGAGCATTTCCGGAAGGAGGCATCAGCAGCCAGACCGGAAGTGTCCGCGGAGTGCCAGCCTGATGGACACAGATCAGCTTGGCCCACTAGGGCACCTGATGACTCGGGGATACTAGTCAAAGAGACCCTTCTGCAGGTTTCCAGGGAGGCGAGTTCCCCAAGGAATGGGAATCCGAATGACACGGGGATTCTCAGCAGGAACACAGGACACTAGAAGGCAGAAAAGTATTTTCCACGAGATTATGGATGAAAGATGTCGAAGTCGAATTCTATCCCTGGCCAAATTCTCTGCCAAAAGCTAAAGTTGGTGGGGTTGGGGGTGTGGCAGAGAGGCTGCCTTATATCAGTGAGGCTCTGGGTCCCAGCTGCAGGGCTGGAAAACAGTGTAAAGTCAGAAGAGGACAGTTCTGGGTGTCAGGACTAAATCGCACCTCTGGGCACCTTCTTGGGCTGCAGTGCGGATGTGTGCCACAGAAAGCGAAGCAGAAATCAAGCACAAAGGCAGGAGACATGGAAAGGGGGCTCTCATGGGACAGATTAAGGAATGGGTCAGGACGATGGCTGAGCAGCAGTCTTGGAGAGCCTGTCTTTCCTAGAACAGGTCGGGCGTGGTACGGGATGCGCCCAGGGTAGAACTGATCATTTGGAAAAGAAATCTTATAGTTAGGGCCGGGGATTTAGCTCAGTGGTTCCGATGCCTGCCTCGAAAGAACAAGGATCCCCAGTGTCAAAAAAACAAATCTCACAGTCATCTGGGAGACCAGTGATAGTTAAGTCCCAGGACAGGTGCATAATAAATTCAGTAAATAGCTAAAAAGTTCCTGTAAGAAAGAAAACAATATCAGTGCACTAGCTGGCTAGCTTGGCCCCAGTATTTGCACAGCTGCTCACAACTAAGCCCCTTCGCCGTGAAAGAGCTGAGTTCGAGGAAGGCACGGAAAGGAGCGAACTACTTTTGCTTTAGTGAAAGATTGAATCAAAGTTGGTCAAAGCGCATCTCTGTTGACAAGCCAAGAGACAGCAGGATAAATTATGTAGAATCAGGGAGGTAAGTGACAGAAGTCAGCTAAAAGTCAGATGTGGCTGCCTCTAGAAAGGTAAAGGTAAGGGAGAGGTGGGTACTGTATTATGATGAAATCTTATGCTGTCTTTGAAAAAGGAACTGTGGCTGCTTCCATTGGTTTAAAAAGGAATGAAACCATGAAATTCGTTTGTTGAGAAAGAAAAGACAGAATGGCCAAACCTTGTCTCAAGTAAATTTTCAGGAAATGTGTGATCCATAAAGACTTGGATGAAGTTGCCTCAAGTGTGGTAGCTTTAGGGTGAACTTCAGAAAACGTGGCGAACTATCCGAATCCTCCTCCATTCCCGCGATCCACACACGCGGACCAGATCCCTGCTGGATCCCCCCAGTTCGGGACTCTTTGGTGGTAGTAGTGACAGAGTCCACCTGGGCTAATTCCTCTCCTCCCAAACCGCAGACACAGCCTGGAAGGAGTCCTTTTCATCCTGCATTGTTCCCCTCGCAGCCATATTAAACTGCAAGGATAAAGCACCATTGTCAGCTGCTTCTATTGAATTACAATGTAAATGTTGATGGTCGCCCTGGAAACACCCGGTGACAACAGTTTGGGGAGCAGATTGGGGGTTGTCTGCAGCTCTGGGACCCCAAGTTGAGAGCGCCCGGGCCACTCGAGTCTTGTGCACTGCAAGGCCTCTTTGTGCAGGACTTCTCCACGCCCGGGCCCAGCTCCTGAAGGGTACTCACCTCTTTGGAAATCTGCAAACTCCCGGGTATCTGTTCCACATCAGGACACTAGATGTGTTTGTTGCGCATAAGAATGTTAAAAATGCAATTATGCAACATAACTTTAGTCCCTTCCGCCGCTGGCCACTGTCAGCAGTTGTCCTCCAGCGGGCATTCGATGCCTGGCGCCGAGCTGCGCGTCCGATTCCTGTTGGCTCGGGGTTTCGGAGCGCAGCTCTCTCCCGTCCTTCCGTTTGACCCACAATCCCTGGTGTTTGCAGGTGCTGCGCCCCGAGCACCCCCATTCCTTGTCCACCCCTGTCGCCCTCGCCTCCCCCCTCAGCCTTGGGGAAGAAGGGAGGCATGGCTGCAGGTCTGCTCCAAGCCCTGGCCCCAGCTCCCCACAGGCTCCACGCAGGTAAACTTCGCAGCGAGTTAGCAGGGCTTGGAGCAGGGCCTTACCTGAGCGCGCCTCTGCCAATGGCAGCGCACCTGAGCGCGCCTCGCAGCCAATCACCGCGCAGCTCG